CAAGTGAGGACGGGGCCTAACAACACACCCGTTGACAGTGACGAGTGGCAGGTCGACGTGGGATTGAAGCCGACGCCGATAGGGGAGGAGGAGCAGGCAGAGGAGAAGCAGCTGATAGGGGAGCAGGCAGCAGTGACGCCGACCACGGAGCAGTCGGCAACCAGGCAGTCGACCGAGGTGCAGCAGGACGACGAGGGCAGTGAAGACGGTGACGAAGGAGGGGACGCCTGGGAGTCCACCAAGAGTGACGTGGTGGAGGTTCAGCCGGAACCCCGGAAGTCGGACAGACTTCGGAGGCCACCTGACTTCTTCGTCCCCGCTGCCTTCACCACGGTTTACGACGTGGACGATGACGACGACCTGCTGTACGACGACGCCGATGAGGATGAGGAATTTCCGGAGCTCGACCCCGACATGCATGCCGACCCCAAGCACCGTTGGGACATCTCGACGATGACGGTGAAGGAGGCGTTGGCGAGCTGGAAGGGCCCGGCGGTGAAGGCCGCCATGGAAGAGGAGATCCGCAGCCTCATCAACATGGGCACTTGGGAGCTGGTCGAACGCCCGCCGGGGGTCAACATCATGAAGAACCGGTGGGTGTTGACGACGAAGTACCACGTCGACGACACCGTCGAGCGAGAGAAGGCGAGGCTGGTTGTGAAGGGCTTCACGCAGGTGTACGGCGCTGACTACGACGAGACGTTCGCGCCGGTGGGCAGCTACGTCACGCTGAGGATTTTCCTCAGCATCGTCGCCGTCCTCAACCTCAACCTGATGCAGCTCGACATGAAGAACGCCTTTCTGCAGAGCAAGCTCGACCGGGTGCTCTACATGTCCCAGCCGGAACTTCAACGACGGAACCGGCCGGGTCTGCAAGCTGCTGAAGAGCCTGTACGGGCTGAAGCAGTCGCCGCTGCTGTGGTACTTGGCGCTCAACGACGTGCTGGACGGCGCCGGGTGGAAGAAGAGCTAGGTCGATGAGGCTCTCTACTTCAAGGTCGGCGACGACGAAGTGGCCTGCTGGGTGCTGGTCTACGTCGACGACCTGCTCGCCGCCAGTAGCAGCACCGAGATGCTGAAGGTGCTGAAGGAGCTGCTGGAGTCCGCCTTCGAGCTGCGTGAGATCTCGCCGGCGCAGAAGTACCTCGGGCTGGAGATCGTCCGCGACAGGTCGGCGGGGAAGCTGTGGCTGCATCAGTAGGGCTACGCCAACAAGCTGCGTAGGCGCTTCATCGACGAGGAGCAGACCGGGCGGACTCCAAAGACGCCAGTCTCGGTCGACGCCTACGCCGAGCTCACCTTCGACGACGAGGAGGCGCAGGAGCGACAGGAGGAGGAGTACCGGCAGAAGGTCGGCTCGCTGCAGTTCGCGGCGACGACGACGAGGCCGGACGTCGCCTTCGCCTGCAGCAAGCTGGGGAGCGGCCTCACGGTGAGGAGCGACCAGCACTGGCGCGAGGTCGACTGCTGCCTCGCCTACCTCGCCAACACGCGTGACACCGCCCTGGAGTTCGGCGTTGGACCTGAGTCGCTGGAGCTTGTCGGCTACGTGGACGCCGACGACGCCGGTGACAAGCAGAACAGGACGAGCACGGGCGGCTACGTGTTCGTCTATGGAGGGGCTGCGGTCTCCTGGTTGAGCCAGCGCATCAAGTGCGCGACGTTGTCGTCGACCGAGTCGGAGTATGTGGTGGCCACGGAAGCCGGGAAGGAGGAACGTCGACTTCGCTTCCTCCTCGCAGAGTTCCAGCAGCTGGATGCTGGGAAGCCGACCGTCCTTCGGGTGGACAACAAGTCGGCCATCACCGTCGCCGAGGGCATGGGGTTGACGGGCAACCTCAAGCACATGGAGCAGCGACAGGCCTGGCTGCAGCACATGGGGAAGCGCGGGAAGTTCTCGCTGAGGTACATCCCGACCGCTGAGCAGCCGGTCGAGCTCCTGACGAAGGCGCTGCACTATCCGGCCTTCAACCGGTGCTCCGTCGCCATCGGCCAGGTGCGCTTGGCCGACGTGGGCGACGAAGTTGACGACGTGCAGCAGTAGGTGCCATGCCCTCTTGCATGGCTGGTGCGGTGGACGACGTGCTGTGTGTTGGGTGCACGTCGACGAGCTAGTCTCCGAGGAGTACTGCCGTGTGGGCTGGGGGCCCAAGCGTGAACGCGGCAGGGGAGTGTCAACGGGAGTTGTGTGTTAGCCCCGTCCTCGCTTGGGCGGGCCGACTTTGTGGTCGGGTGTGAGGGGAGCAGCCGACCTGCAGCAGTGGGCGAGCTGGTTGACGAGGAGGTCGACCTGCACGGGGACCACTGCACGGGCGCCGACTTCAGGGTGGCGCCGACTACAGGGAGGTCGACTTGGGGAGTCTACATGTGGAGAACGTCAACTTGGTGACGTCAACTTGGGGCCAGCCGACTTGGGTGGTCGGCTGACAGGACCTGCTGGTCGACTTGCGGTGGTCGACCTGGCTTGGTGGTCGACGAAGGAGGGGCCGACGTCGACCTCGACTCAGGACGCCGAGCAGTTGGGCGTCGAGTAGCTGGGCGTCAACTTCGTGACGCCGACTTCGGGTAGCCGACTTGGGTGGTCGGCCGACAACTGCGCTGGTCTACGAGGAGCAGGTCGACCAGGACTGCTGGTCGACGTGGAGCTGGTCGACAAGGGGCGTGGTCGACCTGGTGAGGTCGACTTGGAGGTGGTCGTCGACTTGGGAGGTCGACGGGCACGAACGGGAGCAGCTGGTCGACGTGGTTGTCCAGTCGACCAGGTTACCTGGGTGACGAAGTGCTGCGGAGGAGTGAGATGTTCGCCCAGGAGCTTTGGCGAGACCGTCCTCGGTGGTGGTATCCCGAGGACGACGTGACGGATTAGATGCAGTCGTCAGCACGAGGACGACGTGGTGTGTGTGCTGTGCAGGTGACGAGGCACAGCGCGCCAATCGTCTGTGCGCACCTGCGAAGCTGGTGCGATGCTGTCATGCGGGAGCAACGCTGGCCGCCGTCGACTTGCAGTGCTGGAGCTCCGTCGACCAACAGCGTTGGCAAGCCGTGACTCTGCACTGCTGGAGCGCGGTCGACCAAGTCGTGCTGGCACACGGTCGACCATGCTGCGCTGGCAGTCTACCGACTTGCATCCTAGCTTTGATGTAGTCTTGCTATGCCATCTTGTGTGTACCATTGTTCTGAACTTTTCCTAGTGGAACTCTTGCCAACTTTCCCCGTGAACCAGCAAGTAGTGTGCGCACAAGGAAACGACTATGGGACGAACGAACGCTGAGATCACACGAGCACCTGGGCCTAGCCCGTAATCTAGCTCCCGTTGTAGCAGTTATCTCCGCATTGCGACCCTTGGGAAGTTCAACCAACGTCCACGTGCCTTGCTCGTCAAGGCTCTCCATCTCCAGCAGCCCACCACTCCTTGCCTTGAGGTTTGGTCAACGTTGCTGCCAGGTCGAGGATGACACCTCCCCAAGCGCCTTCCTCCTCCTCATCCTCGTCCGGGTACTCCACTTCATAATCGTTGTCCGTGTCGCAATCGTCCTCAGCAAGGAATGCCATGTCGTACGAGTTGTCCTCATCGTCCGTATCCTAGGCCGTCATGGCTGATGCAGGGAACCGTACGGGTGGCACCCCCTTGTTGGGCTTGCTGGAGCGACGTGGGGGTGGTGGAATGGGCTGGATGGGGGGGACTGCAGGTGAAGGCTCATGCTCATGGGCCACCGATGGCTGCGCATCCACTTCTACCTCTCCTTCCTCCTAAGGATCAGCCGTGTCGCCTCCCACGGGCGTCGAATCAGCACTTGAGGAAGGATCGGGAGGTGGCACGGCCATAGATGCCTTTCTTCCCGCAGGGCCCACCGAGCGATCAAACGGTTGCTCACCCCCTTGCATGGACGGCACCGGGACCACGATGACGGTACGCGGTAGCGGAAGATTCTGCTTGGGGTCGTGGGGCTCAGGAAAGAGAGATGGGACTGAAGCAAAGGGTGGTGTGGGCTGGTCATTCCCGTCACCCACGCGCGCACGCCACTTCTGCCCCCGTTCAAGTGACATGTCCTCATAAAAACGTGCATCCCGGGTGAAGACCATGCGCTTTGACTCAACATCCACCACACACCATCCCTTGCTTTCCATGCTCATACCCAAGTGCATGCCCCAACGAGTCTTGCTTGCAAGCTTCCCCTCACGATCATGCTCCGGAATGAGGTATTGCACCATTCACCCAAACACACGGACCATGGACACATCGGGCTTGACTTTGAACACCACCAAATGAAGGGTCATGCCATGGGGCAGGGTGGACTTGTGCACACGGTTTACCACCCACAAGAACTGCTGGAAAGCGAAGTGCTACCAATGTGCTTTCACCCCCATGTGCCCCAACATCACGCGTATGCCCTCTGTTACCGTACGGTTGCGGCGTTCAGCCATACCGTTCCGCTGGGGGGTCGAGGGGCAGGAAAATTGATGCAAGATTCCTCGTTGCTTCAGCAGCAACCGAAACTCGTTCGACATGAACTCCCTTCCCCGGTCCGACCGCAACACCTTCAGCGCCATCCCGGTTTAGCGTTCAGCTTCCGGAAGCCACTCCATGAAGGCAGCAAGCGCGTCGCTCTTCAGCTTCAACGTCGTCCCCCTTGTGTAACGTGAGGCGTGGTCCACAAAGAGGATGTAGTACCTACTTTTATTTATGCGGGGGTCTGAAATGGACCGCACACGTCAGTATGGACCAGCCCAAGAACCTGACTCTGTCGCTCGTCATGCCGCGGATAAGATTGGCGAGTGAGATTGGCTTCGTGGCAGGAGGTCCACGGCATATCCTCTCCTCCTTTCTCCAGATCCATGCCTAACACGCCACCGCTCGTGGCTGTCCGCTTCACTGCATCGAAGTGAACGTGCCCAAGGCGAGCATGCCACAGGTTGGGCGTGTGCCCACCGCGTATGACTTGAGGCTAGCCGCTCCTTTGTTCTCTTCTGGCTTGCATGGCGCAACATCAAGAACCACCTCAGTCATGCCGCTGCTTGCCGTTGCACCTGGCGTACCGTTGCATGACGCTGCAGCCGCCGTGCCGTTGCATGCCGTTGTAGCCACCGTGCCGTTGCATGCCGCCGTAGCTGCCGTGCCGTTGCAGCCGCCGTGCCGTTGCAGCCGCCGTGCCATTGCATGCCTCCGCAGCCGCCGTGCCGTTGCATGCCGCCGCAGCCGCCGTGCCGTTGCATGCCACTACAACCGCCGTGCCGTTGCTTGCGGGCCATGGTTTCAAGTCAAGACAGAGAAGACGATGGCGGTAGCGTGCCGTTGCAGCCACTTGTCCTCCCGATGCGATGATGCGGGTGACACCTTCTTCGGTTTGCAGATTAGCTCCCTTGTCCGTGAGTTGCCTAGGGAAAACCAAGTTGGCCTTCAATCATGGCACAAAGAGGACATCATGCAGGGTCACACGCAAGCCGTTAGTGCCCTCCATCAAAACCTCACCAACACCGGCGACTTCATGCATAGAACCATCAAACTCTTTGACGTATTTCGTTGCAGATGGGTCACGGATCACCTTGAACCACTCCTTGCGGCCGGTCATGTGTTGGGAGCATCCCGAGTCAAGGAACCACAAGTCTTTCTTGTCGACCAGCAACTTGCAGCCCAACACACGACGGTGAGTGCCACACCCTTCCCGTTTCCTCCAGCAACGTTCGCGGCTACCGCGGTCGTTGCATCCTTCTTCTTGGATCGAAAGGCCTCCAGTTTGAAACTCGCTTGCACCATAATCAGCGCCTTAGCGGAAACTGTCCTGAATCTTTTGTGGGACACTTTCAGGGCAGTTTGAAGGCCACGAGTTCGAATCCCAGCGCCGTCATTTTGTTGCTCATGGCAACATTTCCTTCTAACAATTCGGCGTTGCCCGGTCGAACAGCGTTCGCCGAAACTGGCTCGTTGAATAGAGCCCGTAGATCAGCGCTCCTCGACGGGCCTAATCGACCAGAACCTCTCGATGGGCTCGTCGACCACCGTCATCGACCAGTGATGCCCGTCGACGACGTCGCCCAGATCCGGTCGAGCAACACTTCTGCTCGACCATAGATTCAGTCGATCAGTTCGACGTCGCTCCGTCGAACAACACCATTCGACGAGCCCGTCGACCAGCGTCCTTCGACGGACTCGTCGACCACCAAGGTCAAATAGACCATCAACCTCCCTCGTCAACAACTTCACGGTGGTCCCCGCAGGTCGACCAACTCCGTGGGATTTTCGACCTCCTGGATCGCCTTGTCTTGAAGAATGTAGCTGGTGATGGAGTCCTCGTCGAGGGACTCACACGTGCCGGGCACCATCATCATCCTCTTCATGTGGTTGTAGCCGCGCGACAGGCCCTAGACGATGTCGGTGATGTAGGACGTCGTCGAGTATTCGGCGCCCGCCATCCGCATGTCAGCCAGGATCCGTCGAGCACGGTTGCAGTAGTCTGTCGCCAACCCCTTCCGTCGAACAGAACTGTCAGCGGTTGTCGCCGAGCTCCCCTCATCGACCGCTGCTCACTTATCAGTTCGACGGACTGCTCCGTCGACCTCCCAGTCGAGCTGCAGGTCGACGGGCTGCTCCATCGACCTCCGTCGACCTCCCGGTCGAGCTGCAGGTCGACAGGTTGCTCCATCGACCTCCCGATCGAACTGCCCCTCCTGGTCGACGGCCCACCCGTCGCCCAGACCAGTAAGTTGCAGCTGTCGAGCTCCCTGGTCGACAGCAACACCACAGCGGTCCCCTGCAGCTCGACGAAGCTTGTCGAGCAGCTCTCCCACTCTGAACGGTCGGCTACTCCCGTACATCCGAACAAGTCGTCGGCGTTGCCCAAGCGAGGGCGGGGCCAACACTTCATTCCTGTTAACACTCCCCTGCCGCGCTCACGCTTGGGCCTCCAGCCCACACGGCAGTACTCCACGGAGAAAACTCGTCCTCGGCGTGCACCCCACACACAGCACGCCGTCACCGCACCAGCCGTGCAGAAGGGCACGGCACCTACTGCTGCACCTCGTCGTTGTCGTCGCCGACGTCGGCTAGACGAACTTGGCCGATGGTGACAGAGCACCGGTTGAAAGCCTGAAAATGCAGGGCCTTCGTCAAGAAGTCCGCTGGCTGCTCGGTGGTCGGGATGTACTTCAGCACGAACTTCCCGCGCCTCACCATGTGCTGCAGCCAGGCGTAGCGTCGCTCCATGTGGTTGAGGTAACCCGTCAGCCCCAAGCCCTCAGCGACCATGATCGCAGACTTGTTGTCGACGCGGAGGATGGTCGGCTTCCCAGCGTCGAGCAGCTTGAATTCCGCAAGAAGGAAACGAAGTCGGCATCCCTCCTTGCCTGCATCCGTGGCCGCCACGTACTCCGACTCGGTCGACGACAATGTCGCGCACTTGATGCGTGAGCTCGACTAGGAGACGGCGGCCCCTCCGTAGACGAACACGTAGCCTCCCATGCTCGTCCGGTTCTGCTTGTCGCCTGCGTCGTCGGTATCCACGTAGCTGATCTGCTCCAGTGACTCTGGTCCGCCGCCGAACTCCAGGGTGGTGTCGCGGGAGTCAGGGAGGTAGGCGAGGCAGCGGTCGACCTCGCGCTAATGCTGGTCGCTCCTCACTGTGAGGCCGCTCCCGAGCTTGCTGTAGGCGAAGGCGATGTCCGGCCTCGTCGTCGTCGCCGCAAACTGCAGCGAGCCGACCTTCTGCCGGTACTCCTCCTCCTTGCGCTCCTGGGCCTCCTCGTCGTCGAACGTCAGCTGAGCGTAGGCGTCGACCGAGACCGGCATCTTCGGGACTCGACCGCCCTGCTCCTCGTCGATGAAGCTCTTGCGCAGCTTGTCGGAGTAGCCCTGCTGGTGCAGCCACAACTTCCTGGCCTGCCTGTCGCGCACGATCTCCCGCCCAAGGTACTTCACCACCGGCGAGATCTCACGCAGCTCGAAGACGACCTCCAGCAGCTCCTTTAGCTCCTTCAGCATCGCGGTGCTGCTGCTGGCAGCGAGCAGGTCGTCGACGTAGACCAGCACCCAGCAGGTCACTCCGTCGTCGCCGGCCTTGAAGTAGAGCGCCTCGTCGACCTGGCTCTTCTTCCAGCCAGCGCCCAGCAGCACACCGTCGAGAGCCCTGTACCACAGCAGCGGCGACTGCTTCAGCCCGTAGAGGCTCTTCAGCAGCTTACACACCCGGCCCGTCCCATCGTCGAAGTAGTCCGGCTGGTACATGTAGAGCACCCTGTCAAGCTTGCTCTGCAGGAATGCGTTCTTCATGTCGAGCTGCATCAGGTTGAGGTCGAGGACGGCGACGATGCTGAGGGAGATCCTGAGCGTAACGTAGCTGCTCACCGGCGAGTACGTCTCGTCGTAGTCGGCGCCGTACACATGCGTGAAGCCCTTCACCACCAGCCTCGCCTTCTCGCGCTCGACGGTGTCGTCGATGCGGTACTTGGTCGTCAGCACCCACCGGTTCTTCATGATGTTCACCCCGCGTGGGCGTTCGACCAGCTCTTAGTGCCCATGCCGATGAGGCTGCGGATCTCTTCTTCCATGGCGGCCTTCACCGACTCGCCCTTCCAGCTTGCCAACGCCTCCTTCACAGTCATTGTGGCAATGTCCCAGCGGTGTTCGGGGTCGGCATGCACGTCGGGGTCGAGCTCCGGCAGTTCTTCATCCTCCTCAGCGCCGTCGTACAACAGGTCATCGTCGACCTCGTCGTACACCGTGGTGAAGGCAGCTGGCGGCAGGCAGGCGTGGAAGCTCAGCCGCTCCGGCGGCCGTCGAGCTCGACCTGTGCGTCGCAGCTCGGGCTTCGTGATCGGCACCTCCACCACGTCGCTGTCGGTCGACTCCTCACCCGCCGACTGCTCCCCTTCCTCGTCGACGTCCTCGTCGTCGACCAGCTGCTTCGACCCTTCCACCGGCTGCTCGCCTGCTGCTGACTACGACAGCTCCCCTGTTGACCGCCCTGGCTGCTGCTCCCTAGTCAGATGCACCGCAGTGTTGCCTCTTGTTCGACCGTTCCCCTGTCTGCTGCTCCCCTGTCGTCGACGGCTTCCCATCCTGGTCGACGAGCTTAGCGCATTGTCGACAACCGGCGATGCTAGGGGCCGGCGCCACAGGCGACGCCTCAAGGCTTCCCTCATCGCCGGTGGTCGACACAGGTCTCGACGCAGACCGATCTGCGACGGGGGACGGAGGAGCAAGTACGGGGAGAGGGGGAAAAACCTCCACAACATCCTCATCAGCTGGCTCGTCGACTTCGGCGAGCAACGGAATCGTCGCCGTCGAGGTGTCCGTCGGCGGGTGTGCCTGCATCCGCCCCGACGCCGGCCCATACTTCGCCTTCCACACCTCCAGCGACAGCGTCTCGTAGAAGATCACCTCGACCGACGTGACCACCTTGTTGTTGGTCAGGTCGAGCACCTCCTAGCCCTTGCTCTCCGGCGACACACCCAGGTGAAGCCCCCAGCGAGCCTTCGGCGCCAGCTTCCCACCACGCTGCTGCTCGGGAACCATGAACTGCACCATGCAGCCCCACACCCGCACCAGCGTGAGGTCGGGCTTCTTCCCGGTCTGCAGCTGTACTGCGTCGTCCACGGCGGCGTCGTCGACCGATCTAAGCAGTTCCGCACCCAGACAGCCTGTCGAAGAGCGAGGTGCCACCAGTGGTGCTGCACGCCCATGTGCAGCAGCATCGTCCGCACGGATTCGACGACAGTGCGCATCTCCCGCTGAGCCATGCCGTTCTGCTGCGGAGTGTAGGGGCACGTCAAGTCGTGGACGATTCCCTCCCTGGTCGGAGCGAAGCGACAGCACCAAATTCTTCGTCTGCCGTTCCACCAGCACCAGCCACTTCTGGAACTCCCACAGCACCTCGCTCTTTTTAGCGACCAGCATTGCCCATACAAACCGAGTATGGCGATCCTTCAGCAGCAAGAAGTACAAGCTGCCATCGTCGGCAGCCACCCAAAATGGCCCGCACATGTCAATGTGCACGATAGCCAGTGCCTCCTCGGCGTCTGAGCCCTTATCGGGGAAGGTGTGCCGCGCCAGCTTTCCTCCGACGCAAGAGACACACGGCGGGTCTGCTCCGATCGACGGCGTGATGTCGAGCCCCACAGCAACTTCATGCTTCGCCGAGCTCTTAATCGTGTCGACGCTGACGTGCGCAAGCCTCGCATGCAACCGGTCAGGGGTCGACTTCGTCACTGAGACGATCGTCCGCAGAGCCACCACCTCGATCGACGGCGACCGCGTCGAGTAGGGGGCAAGGTCGGTGCAGAGGACTCGTCCGGTGTAGCGTGCTCGACCGAGCACCTCCCCGGTCGCGGCGACAAGCAGCATCTCATCGCCGTCGCCCTGCAGCTGCACTCAGCTCTCCTTCAGCTGGCCAGCAGGCAGCAGGTTCGCCTGGACGCCCGGAACGTAAAGCACGTCGGGGATGAGGACCTGCTTCCCGGCCTCCCCTTGTAGAGCGACGGTTCCGCGACCCTCGACAGGCTGCAGCGCCCCGGTGAATCCACGCACGTGCTTCACTCCATCGCTCGGCGCCATGTAGACGAAGACCGCCTTCGTCCCCATCAGGTGGTGG